TTAACCTCTCCTACTTCATTCAAACTGTCATTGCCACCCTAAACTTAACATGCCCAAAGTCTAGATCACACTTGTCACCATCTTCAAAACCCTTGCCCCAGGGACTTCCCACCAGCCCTTTCTGCCAACTCTTGGGTGCCGGATGAGTTATAGAAAGTAAGAAGGAAAAGATGAGATAGAAAGTTTGCATGCTACAAGTGACCTAGATGTACTGCACACATGTGCAGGGAACATAATCCTCCTAACTTTATGAAACGCGTAGGACTCTTTAGCCTCCCAACCTAGAGGAAGAGAAAGCAGGTGGTGAGCACCCACACCAGACATCAGTGCCCTTGAGGCCAACAATGATATATTTCAAGTTTTACCAATATTAAATATTTATTCTCATTTTCAGATCTCACTTCTCAAACTATAGCTCAAACAACAGGAAATATTCCAGGACTATATTAAGTACTAAGGGTACAAGCCCAAGGTGAGTCTTCACCTGGCATGCTTGCTAAAGAATCCTCCTCTCCTGTCCTTCCTCTTTCCACTGACCCTCAACTATTACATAAGTTCCCTAAATCTTCTTATTTCCTGTCTCCCTTTATTCTATTCTACCCTATATCCTAAAGCTTAAAAAACATTTAAAGTATTTTTCCAATTACATGATTATCCTGATCAGACATATTCGTCCATTATCTATTAAAACTAACTAACGTTTATCCCGATAGTCAACACTGGCCAAATTTCCTTTCCCTCCCCCTTCCTACCACTCCCATGTCTGTGAGCACAGATCCTTCCACGGAGACATGCTACAGCATTTGGTCTGCATCTATCTGGTGGCACCCGTCTTATTACTTTCTTTTGTTAAATGTGTCTAATTCTTCCCACTCACTTCATTAGGTTTAGACCAGAAATTGTGTTTTGCTCATCTTTGTATTCACTTTAGCAAAAAGTATGTGTTAGGAGGCGGTGCCTGTGGCTCAAAGGAGTAGGGCATCGGCCCCACATACTGGAGGTGGCGGGTTCAAACCCAGCCCCAGGCAAAAACTGCAAAAAAAAAAAAAAAAGTATGTGAGGTGCTTGGAAAAAAAAAAAAAGCTACATTGAGTGTCGCCTAGTATTGGGCTTAATTTTATAGTATCTACTTGCTCCCTGAGGACACACACCACTCCACACCCACAGCAACACTCAAAGTAGCTAGCTAAAATAGCGTAGCACCTCTACTCCTCACACTCAGATTGTGTGCAGTTTTGCTAATATTTGTTGAATCCTAACTTCTGGCTCATTGATGTCATTTTCCTGTGAAGTCAGGCATGCTGAGAATGCTTGTCTCTCCATTAATATTGTTTTTTACTCAGATTATTATTACCTGAGTTCCACATACATGCTTGCTATGGCTGTACTTGACAGTTCAATTTGCGTAAGTTGGGTGTTAGTCTTAGTAGCTGACATGCAGCCTTTCGGCATCCAGGGCACCATTACTCCATTCATCGAGTGAGCAGTAGTGGCAGTGTCTCCCTGCTGTCAATGGGTAGAGTGTGTTGTACATGTGTACATAGAAAGCATTCTGTGTGACTTATCTCCCATGGGCATAAGTCAGGGGCCAAAAATCCTCTCACCAAAGAAAGGAAGAGCACGGAGCAAATGAACCTTCCCTTAAACCCATCACCTCTTTTCCCTCTTTATTTATAGAAAGACCCAGTGAAGAATTCCTAGAGCTCTGGAACTCTGGAACGCTCATCTAGAGTGACAACAGACTGCAATTAACACCCTGCTTTTACTTTTTAATAGCTCACACCACAGGAAGAAATGTCTAAAAGGATATTTAAATTCAGCATAAAATTCTAGCAGCCACAATTTTAATTGCATACCAACTGCAAAATATTTTTTTCATTGTCTATATAAAAGGAAGGCTATAATATATGCTGTCTACTTGTTTCAGAACTTAGTTATTAACCTTTAAGAATCTTTTCTGGAATAAAAGCCTCTTTCTTCAGCAAATGCATTTTGACACTGGGACTTAACCTTCTAAAATCCCAACTCCTATTTTGGACAGTGTTAAGACTTCAATCCCCAATACAAAAACACCCTAAACAGTATTTCAGACAGGGATTTCAGAAAGTTTTTGATTGACAACACAAAATCATTTTTAGAAGTCACAAAAATAAAAAGTCACCTCTTCTCAAAGACATAAACACACATGTAAAAAAATGCACAACACGTAATTTGATTACTCAATGGTAAATCATCACAAACGCAAGCAAAGACCGGGTTGCTGTTTCCATAGCAATGACTTTCTGTGGTTTTAGCTCTTCTGGGAATTTAACCAAATCCCCAGCAGCAGGAGAAAATCATCAGCAAAAATTCTCTAACATATGGCAACTGCCAACAAACCAGGAGGGAAAAAATACTTTCATTTTCTTTTCCTTTTTACCAAGAGGAATGTCTTCACATCAAGCTGTTTGATAAAGCACACAGATTTTGTTGGTCACTTGGCATAGAACTCAAAACTAAACAATACCAGGTTTTTTCATTCTTACATTAAAAGAGCTGTTGGTACCCAGCCAGGTTCTGCAGCACACACGTTCCCAGATGGCATCTAGACATGAGCAAGAACTGCATAAATCTTCCCATAACCCTCGATGGCGGTCCTAAGGGAAAACTCTCTATCTGCAGGGTTATCTCTTAGGGAAGAATGCAAATGGCATTTTACACTCCATTATGCTTTTGAAGCTATGCTCATCCTGGGGTCTGGGTATGTGTATGTATGCATGAAACTTTTTTTGCTTCTACTTATGACCTAATGATTAAAGTAAGAGTTTGCACCAGAAAAATTATAGATGTGGTACTTTTTATTATTTCCCTTAGACCCACCCATCCTATATCTGGAAGGCTCTAGCATAAAGTTAGAGGTCATCTAGTTCAAGATATAAAGTTCTCTTTCTAGTACCTATTTTCAAAAACAAAAATTGTGACCAATATGCCATGTGCAATCAATATCCAATGAGAGTGGTTGCCACAGAATAAGTAAACACCACCAGTACTAAGGAATGTATTACTTTCCAAGGAGCCCATTCTATTTTGAACAGTTCTCAATGTCAAAAAGAAGTTTCTTACGCTAAACCTAAATCCATTTTCTTTTTAGTTGCACCACTGACTTCAATTCTGTCCAAAGAAATACATGTAAGCCCAGTACTGTGTCTACATGACAGCAGCTCACAAACTCAAGGCCAGCTCAAGTCTCCTCTTTTCATTCCTCATCTCGTCCAATCTTTATGTGCCTGTAATTCTTCAAAAGAAGTGTTGACTTTCTCTCCCTGTCCTCCTCATTCACCTCTAGAAACAGTCTAGTTTGCCAATGACTTCATTCATCCCAGTTTTTCTATTATAAAATAGATATTTGTCCTACATTGGGGGTGTCAAGAAAAATGCCATCAGAGGCCAGGCAGGTAACTCAACTGTGCAAAGCATCTTCAGGTAAAGCCTCAGAGAGAGTGACAACTGATATGAATTGGAGAATTCGTACCAGCCTCAGCATTCAAATTTATAATTTTAAAATGCTAGACGCACACACACACACACATAAAACCTTGGTCTGCAGTTACAATCCTTAGTAAAATTACACTGATAACCAAAAATTAAATTAACAAAATACATCTTTTTTTTTTTTTTTTTTTTTTTGAGACAGAGCCTCAAGCTGTCCCCCTGGGTAGAGTGCCGTGGCATTACAGCTCACAGCAACCTCCAACTCCTGGGCTCAAGCGAGTCTCCTGCCTCCGCCTCCCAAGTAGCTAGGACCACAGGCGCCCGCCACAGCGCCCGGCTATTTTTTGGTTGCAGCCATCATTGTTGTTTGGCGGGTCCGGGCTGGGGATTCGAACCTGCCACCTTAGGTGTACGTGGCTGGCGCCTTTAGCTGGTTGAGCTATAGGCACCGAGCCACAAAATACATCTTAAAATACATTGTAGAAGGTAAAGAAAAATTCCCAGATTAGGGTAGGGGGATAGGGACTGAGTCACCTACATCATTAGGCAATCTGGCCAGCTATTATGGATATTTAGTGAGTCAACTTTCTCTCAATAGTATCCCTCCAAAATGCAACCCAAGCTCATTATTCTCTCATGGCTCAGTACCTTTTATCAGGCAAGCTTGTTTTACAATAGAATGAATAAAGCACAATCAGAAAAGACACGTCCTGATTGAATAGTCATAAAAAGAAGTCACCTCTGATGACATCTGAAAAGTCTCCATACCCAGATGTCCCATATTCTTTAAAAGGTAAGGATCAATTATTATAGAGTATTAAAAAAAACTTACATTATTAATTTCTTGCACCACTACCTCTTTCCCCTATTAAGACCTAAAATGTCATTCACAGCATAGCCTATGTTTTCTTTCATATTTAAAGGTTCTAATGCTGCCCTTCCAGTACATGTAAGTTTTCTGTTTCCCTGTCTTCCATACAAGGACACTCAGGTGCCAACTGGCCAGGAAGCCAACATTGTCTGTGGGACTGGGAAAGAGGCTGCCCTGAGCGCCCAGTGAACCATCCCGGTGATGTTACAAATACCAAACTATACCTGGTTCAACTGCACAAGCTCCAGCGCATAGGCAGGGGTAGGGAACCTGTGGCCTTAAGTCCACATATGGCATTCTGGATCTTTAAGTGATGCCTTTTGACCGAATCCAAATGTTGCAGAACAAAGCCTTCCTTACAGAAGCAAGGTTTTGTTTCTGGTACTGGTGGCAAAGTATTATTATTTTGTGATCTCTTGTCTCATAGTTTTAGAGCATTTGGTTAGTAAGACAGGAAATAATTAGTAGCCTGATAGCTGGAGTGGTCCACATGCAAACACCTCTACAAAGGCAGCCCCTGAGCTCAGCCACACTTGACTGCTTAATCACTGAGTTGCCATTCAGGAGTTTAACCATTCTCATTACAAATCAACATTAGAGTTCCACATACACACAAACATTCACTCTCTAGAGAAGAATGAACAATCTCTTGGTTTACCTCTGTCCATGATCTTTGATCCTGTAGGCTTATCCGGGATGGTTAGATGGTCTTGGTTGCTACTCAACGAAGAAGTGTCATCGCTAGATAAAGAGTTCAAAAATCCACTTTCTGATGTGACAGAACTGTTGTCCAGGGCCTTGAGGCCGCTTGCCTCCGAGGGTACAGGGGAATGAAGCTGCACAGCAAATGTCACAGACTGTCCCAAACCTTCAGCAGCAGATGAACTGTTAACTATGTCAAGCCAGGACTGTCTTTCTTTAGATGAGGAGGAAGAAAACCCGCTGGGTGTCTTTGTTGAGTTTTCCAGGGACGAGAAAGAACACGATGTTTCACTTGATTTGGGTGAAGATGAAGATGCCTGCTGTCCAGCCTATTTTTCACAAATAGAACCAAAAAAGAATAAAATAAATCATGATTAAACCTGCTTTTCTACTTTTCATGTTCAATAGAGGTGCCCCGTGGTTGTTTCCAAAAGTGACCGATGACAAAAGAGTCAAAAAGGAAACACCTGATATTTATTTCTGTTTCACAGCCACTAGGACACCATTCTCTCAAACTGAATTTTGAATTCACTGTTCTGGGATCTGAAAAGTCTCCATACCCTGATGTCCCATATTCTTTAAAGCTCTCCAGAAACTTAAAAGGCCTCTTTGGGGAAATCTGTTAGAATATTGAAATACACCTTGAACAAAATATAATTTTCAATCTATATTGAATTTGCACAGATGGAGCAAAAACTCTTGAGACTCTTGAGAAAAGTGATTAGGAGAAAGAAAAAGAGAGAGAGCCAGACAGGAAGCAAAATAATGTTCGCTGAGTGGAGCTCGGTGATGTGGACAAAGCATAGGTATTTAAGCTCTGACTATTCCTCAAATATTTCTTAGCACATAACAGTATCCGCTTATAACTGCACAGGTTAAATTAAAGGGTTTTAATTTAAAAAATTTAATGAAGTTTTGCCAAAGAAAGATACATTTTCACCCTCCCAATTTATTAAAGAGAAACAGCAGCTGCACCACTGATGCTGGAAAGCAGGCTGATGATACATCTTCATACAGCGGTTCCTGACACACACTCCAAGGACACATGGCAACATTTTCACCAGGACACAGAGAATACATCAGTGGAACATTACCAGTGAGAACCCTCCCTTGGAAAGGACTTTATTCGTTCTGAAACTTTTGTCCTTGTTACATTTTGATGTTGAAAGATAAGCTTGATAACTAGGATCCACAGAGAACTCTAATTAATCAATATAAAAAGAGCCAACAATTGGGCCGGTGCCTGTGGCTCAAAGGAGTAGGGCGCTGGCCCCATATACTGGAGGTGGCAGGTTCAAACCTGGCCCTAGCCAAAAACTGCAAAAAAAAAAAAAAAGAAAAAAAGAAAGAGCCAACAATCCTTTAGATCAATGGACAAGAGAGATGAACAGAACCTTCTCAAAAGAAGACAGATGAATGGCTGACGAACACAGGAAAAAATGGTCATTGTCCCTGATTATTAGAGAAATGCAAATCAAAACCATCCTGAGATACCTTCTAACCCCAGAAGAATGGCCCACATCACAAAATCTCAAAATTACAGATGTTGCCGTGGATGTGGAGAGAAGGGAACCCTTTTACACTGTTGGTGGAACTGCAAACTAATACAACCTTTTTGGAAAGAAGTATGAAGAATCCTCAAAGAACTCAAATTAGACCTCCCATTTGATCCTGCAATCCCATTACTGGGCATCTACCCAGAAGGAAAAAACAAAATCCTTTTACCATAATGACACCTGCACTAGACTGTTTATCACAGCTCAATTTACAATCACCAAAATGTGGAAACAGCCTAAATGTCCACCAACCCAGGAATGCATTAACAAGCTGTATATATGTATACCATGGAATACTATTCAGCCACAAACAAAGATGTAGATTTGGGGCAGTGTCTGTTGCTCAGTGGGTAGGGCACTGGCCCCATAAACCAAGGGTGGCAGGTTTGAACCATGCCCTGACCAAATTGCAACAACAAAAGAAAATAGCCGAGTGTTGTGGCAGGTGCCTGTAGTCCCATCTACTCGGGAGGCTGAAGCAAGAAAATCACCTAAGCCTAGGAGTTGGAGGTTGCTGTGAGCTGTGATGACACAGCACTCTACTGAGGACAATAAAGTGAGACTCTGTCTCTAAAAAAAAAAAAAAAAAAAGATGTAGACTTTACATCTTTTGTATTAACCTGGATGGAAGTAGAATACATTATTCTTAGTAAAGCATCACAAGAATGAAGAAGCAGGAATCCTATATACTCGATCCTGATAATGAGGACAATTAATGACCTAGTACACAGTGAGGGTGGAGAAAGGGGAGAGAGAGGGAAGGAGGGAAGGGAGTGGGGTCACGGTGTATGGCTCACCTTTTGGGAGCAGGACACAATCACAAGAGGGTCTTTATTTAACAAATGCAATCAATGTAACCTGGTTCTTTGTATCATCAATGAATCCCAAACAATAAGAAAAAAAAAGACAGGGCTTCTTTTGAAAAACACTATATAAAAGCTGTCTTTTAGACTTTTATTTTTTAATGTTCTCCATAACAAAATAAATTTCAACAACTCTAAGTTGAAATTTTATCTATTTATAATTTTATCCATCAATAAAATCCAAATATCTAGATTCCAGGGCTCTGCAAGTCAGCCAGTATCTCCAGCTACAGTAAGGACAGAGTTGGCATTGTATGCTTCAGTTTCGTTACATCATCCTGTCAATCTCAAGAATTCAAAACTCTGAGGAAGTGGCAGGAAGGAGATTATTAGGGGCAGCCAAAGAGCAAACCAGGATCCTCCCTAAAACACTCAGAATCACTGCAACTCACTCAGAACAGCTGGCTTTCTTCCAAATCAATATGGTCTCAAGAATTTTATAGGTCTAAGCTCTGAATTTTGATGGGAAAAGCCAATATTTGCCCAATGTGAACATACTAGACTCGGCTTGCATACTAGACATGGACTGTCAAATAATCAATAAATCCACTTTTAAGTAACATGACATTAAAATGTCTAGTTAAGATGCTCGCTGATCACACACACCATCCCAGTAACAACACATTGGCACAGACATGAAAATTTTCCATTCATGAACGTGCCAGGTAGCTTGGAAACTGGTTATCCTAAATCAGGCCATTTAACAACCAGAAATCAAACATCTGCAGTTCACTAAGTCTAGTTATCTGGAAAAGAAAATGTACAACCTCTAAACTGTCCAAATAAACACCAGGAATCATTTGCAGGATCTACAAAATAAATATTAACAAAAATCTCTATTCTGGCCCCGTCCAGACACGTTCCCCTATTGTGAGCTATTTTTGTAAAACTCAACTTCCATGTGATCAGCTTCCTTTTTCGGAAAGAGACCAAGCATGAGTTTTTCCTGCAGCTCCTGCTGCTGCTACTTTAATTCGATTATAGCAAACAGAGCTGTTTGAGCAAGAGACTGTGTACACAGTGGCTGTGGCCCCTTCTGTAAGGGCTGAGGGAAGATCTGGTAAGTCAGCATTAGCAATATCCGGCGGCCAGTTCCTGTTTGTGGTACTCACTACTCAACTCGGTGCAACACAGTGCTTTGGGGAGTCTTGTGAGTACACTGCCCAGAAGGCACTGAGCTTAGAGCGCTATGCTTGACATAGGCTGCTTGTAATTACAGACTGTTAGAAGTGACGAGCCACGCCTGGGCATCACACTCTCTAAAGCATGTTCCCACACTGGACCCCAGTTCACTTTGATTTGTAGTTTGTCAATCTTTAAACCAGTGAAAACTCCTCCTAACCTAACAATACCCATAGTCTTTTCTCATTTCATTTTTCCTTCTATCCAATTCTTTTCCTTCATTCTTTCTCTTTATTTTTATTCTTTGCTCACTCTTCTCCATTTTAAAATCAACATTTTAGGCCAGGCACGGTGACTCACCCTTGCAATCCTAGCAGACTAGGAGGCTGAGGTGGGTGTATTGCTGGAGCTCAGGAGTTCAAGACCAGCCGGAACAAGAGTGAAGCCCCATCTCTGCTAAAAACAGAAAAACTAGCCGAGTGTTGGGGCAGGTGCCTGTGTAGTACATAGTTATTCAGGAGGCGGAGGCAAGAGGATGGCTCAAGCCCAAGAGTTTGAGGTTGCTGTGAGCTATGACAGCACAGCATTCACCCAGGGTGAAAGAGTAAGACTCTATCTCAAATTAATTAATTAATTAAAATCAAGTTTTAAATGTTATATGGTGCCTAGAGAAAATGAGAAGTTGAAAGTATCAAAAGTCTACCCATTTCTAACTTCTTTAAGAATAAATAGGTCAATCTTCTAAAGCCTTATCAAAAAGAAAGAACATAAAAAAATCTTCCTCTTTACCTTGTGGAACATGGTTCAGCCCATTACAAGCAGAGTCCAAACGGACCTGGTGCTGAAGTTTCTCTGCTGATCTTATTAGCAGTTAGAACAACTAAAGACTAAATTTGTTTCATTCAAACAAATGAATCTTAATCTATGATAGTTTTCACAAAGACTATTTCTATATACTGTTGAATTCACCATCACAAAATAAAAGTCTAATACCCAAAATATTGTTTAAAGTAAGAACTGGGAGAAAAAATTATTTTTATCCCCAACCTCAGATATCTAAGTGAGCTTATTACCATATAAAGCAAAATAATAACTTGAGTCATGGTTTAGATACAATTTACTATCTGATTTTTTTTACGTTTCATTTGGTTAAATAAAAAGCCAGAATGTTATTTTAACCAAGTGCCTTGCATGTCTGTTTTTCAGAAACTAGAAAAAACAAAAACAAAATCTGCCTGGGAAATATGTGAGCAAGTGGAATATATCCTGTTGCTAAGGCAAAAAAAAAGTCTTAACTGTTCAAACATTTATCTGACTATTTCCAATATATTTCCTTAGAAAATGTTAGCATTAGTGGCCTGCCAAAAGATGCTCAACTTACAAATTTCAAAAATAACACTTGATTGATGATACAGAAAGTGTAAAGATTCTTCTGAGTTCAGTGACCCAACTTACTGGTCTCCTAAGCAGACCCTCATTTATTTGTTTTAAAACGAGCATTCCCTACGTGGCTACTGCAGGTCAGACTGTCATTGTGTAATGTAATTGAGCCACAAACCTTCATCTAAGAAGAGGATGTGGTTGCTTTTATTTTTACCAAGTAGCATTCCAGACACTAGCTACTATGGGAGTGATGGATAAATGTGACACGTTCAAATCAAGAACATCTGTTTAGAAAGAGAAATCACGAAACAGAGTTTTAAAAAAACAAAAAGCGAGATTTGCTCACTTCTAGCTGACAAAGAACTGATACACAGAATAATAAATTAAGAACATATAAAAATCAAGAAGAAGAGAAAGAAGAGGAAGACACAGCTAAAAATGTACAAAAGACCAGACACTTCACAAAAAGGAAATGCAAACGGCTAATAAATGTGAAAAGACGCTTGGCCTCATTAGTAATCAATACAATGTGAACTGAACATTACTACTTCTCAGGGCTATTTGGAGGATTAAATGATTATGTATTTAAGCCATCTACATAAAACTTCATACATGGCAAGTGTCAAAACCGTGAATCAACCTCCCCAGGGACCCTTGTTTGACCCTTTCTAGGGGCATCACTGTAACTTTAAGTGCATCCAACTACGAAGGAGCTCTCCGCAGTCTTAACATCCATTAATAACAGGAACCTACATTAGGGGCCTGCAGAGCTCAGAACCACATTCACACTCCTCTCTAGGGAACATACAAAACCATTCCACATGCAATTTTAATACACTGACCTCACTCCCAGCTTCCTGCTATCTCTCTGACTCCACTACTTTTCTCTTCACACTGCTTTTCCATTTTCCTTAAATTTATTTTGCATTGTTAGAGTACACACATTTGGGCAAGGCACTTCAATTGTTTTGGCAAACAAGTAGGGCATGAACACTATAAGACAAAGTTTTGTAAGTACTGGCCTATCACCTAGGTGCCTTTCGCATGAGGAGCCTGTGGGTCACCCGGGGATAGGCCGAAATTGTCCTACCAGTGGGATATTACGGAGAAGTTTCAGAATCAGCGCCCTGAAAACTGTACTTGCTCTTTGGAAGATACCCTAATCTAACCCACTCTAAATACTTGTTATTCAAGGGCGTTTCTGGCCAACTGGAAGGAAGGACCTCCACCCCTCTGATCAGTAACCAACAGACTACTTACATCTGCACATACTGAAGGAGACTGGGTCTGGGAGGAGTAGGGAGGGGGTGGTGTCTCCGTGGCGATTTCAGGATCTTCCTGTTCACTTTCACTGTAACATTCTACAACAGAAACGAAATTGTTTAGTGTTTCAGTGCCGCCATCACTTATTCCATAATGCACGAGCAGAGGTTTTTCGCCATCTGGCTACTGCAATTTCAAGCCACTGCAGAAAGCCCACGTCCACTGAACTACCTGGTGCAAGGAAACTGTAAGTCAGAGGAAGAAACAAACGGCTCATGCCGTCAAGAGCATTCAGTACACAGAAAGGGCCAAAGCTCAGGGAAGATAAATCCTCAACAGAGGTGCCAATCACATACTAAGAGAACACGAAATCAGTAGTGATTAATTTTAATCATTGGAATCTTAATGAGCTGAAATTGGCACTGGCCTATCAGCGGTGCACAGAGGGAGAAGGGAGTAGGGTTGGGGGAGGGGGCTGGCCCAAGTGTGTGGAGAATCTTACAGGACACAGTAGAAATAGAAGCTGAAAGGTCACTGAAGCCGGGTGATGGAAGACCTTAGAGGCCAAACCAAAAGTCTTCTGTGTACGGATTCACACCCACACAATCTATAAATATGCAATAGTTGCTTATTTTGTGGAACAGAAGACAAAGATGTTTAGGACACGAATTTCATGCTACCATATGGTATTCCTTTAATGTTTCCAATCCAGTTGCCATGTTTTCATGTCTACATCTAAGATTTTATAATTTTGTCATCACAAGATGTAAGTCTCCATTTCCGATTCCTGAGTCTTATGTGGCCTGTGCACTTCAGAAATGTTATCACCTCGGTGGCCCTGCCACGTAAAGCCTCCCTCCTCTCAATGCTAAGGAGTAATTGCATCGTTACGGAGAATTAGACTACAGTTGATTTTGAACCGTGCCTCCCAATCTGACCTTCACACACCTAGTGGAAATTTTACAATATCAGAGAAGAAATAGTGAGACAAAAATTATCTGACCAGACCACAAGGAGATGGTGTCTACGAGTAAGAGAATTCAGCAACTGGGGCAATCAAACATTTGCACTGGCAAACTGAGATGTCAGTGAAGCCCACAGCTGCAGACGTGTGGGTGACGTGTGAAAAATATTCACAGCCAGCAAGGGAAGCTTACTCCGTGTTGGTAAGTCTGTGTGAATCTGTCTGTCTCTACATATTTTCATATCATTTTAAATACCAAGGTATGCTTCATCAGGATCAGACTATACATAGAATGTGACATTGTTTTTTTTAATCCTATTTCCGTCTTTTCTAATATTCTTGCTGAATTTTCAGAGATTTAAAATAGAACATACCTTCATCCTTTGTGGTGGCTTCATGATGGATTACAGCTAATCCAAGTTTATTTAACCACCTAAAATTCAAATAGAAAGTAAATGTCTGACCAGAGAGATTGGTTCATATTACCCGTTCACCTCCCCCTAGGGACCCAAAGGGAGGACATTATACCAGACTTTCTTATGAAATCAAGACATCATTCTACTTTCAGCCTGAACATTTCCAGAAACAGCATAAGTTTTCAGCAGTGACACCTAAGGTCTTTGGTATCACAATACTTAACTTACAGATGGATCCTTGGTAAGTACAAGAAGTGCCGTGGCCCCTTATCCAGCTGGCTAATGTGGTCAGCTAAGTTAGATCATCTAAACACACGAGCACACGCATCTTCTTTTGTAATTGTGCATTCAAAATTTCTAGCAACCATTAAACCTTTTATTGTCAGGTTTAGTCACTTGGCCATTAAAGTTATTGAATGCTCTCTCTATAATTCTTAATAATGTCTTTATATTTTAGAAAGAAAAAAAAGACCATCTATTACTAACCCAGGGATATTTTTATATCAATAAGTAAAATATCTAGTTAGAACCTGACAGATATTCCTAAACTAGGGGAAATTTTAATTTCTTAAAGAATTAAAATTGACAATGTCCTGTTTACCATTTTATTAACACTGGATTCCAACCATACATCCAAAGCGAAGGTAGCACTAGACAAACCTTAGCAAACTCCCACTTGCCTTAACCATTTCAGACCACTGCAGTTCCTTCTCAGTGGGTTAGTTAGGAACATACTTTAAAACGCAAATTTGTAAAAGCTAGCACACAAAGACAATCTATTTCATATATTATTAACCGATAATCTTATACTTAGAGAGAAAACATTGTTTCGAGACAGTGAAAATCTAGATGATTTATTTCCCACTTCTTTTCAGTTTTCCATATTTTTAAATATACTCCATACTGCATATTCATTTTTTTTTTTGAGAAACCAGAGCATTCAATAATAAAGTCAACCAATACCGACAAAAGCATAATAATAACGCTGGGTATTTACTGACTCATTTATACCTGTGATTCCTTCTAGTCCTGAAAGACCTCATGAACAATTCAGCTTGCCACACTTACACCAGGACATAAATGTTAGACATTCCCATGTCTGTAGTTGCCAACTAATTAGGAATCTTTACCCAACCCTCAGTCTTCCACGGTCTTGCTATATCCATTATTTTCTTTAACAGAAAATGGGTAATAAGTTTTATTTTTAAAAATAAACGAAATAGGAATTTCTAACGAAGGAAGATGCGTTCCAGCCTCCTTTAAGGAGCTTTACCTCAGCACCACGATAAATACAAGCTCTCTGGTGGCACTCAAAATTGGACCAATCAGGAGCCCAAATTATGCCAGAGGAACCTAAAAATGTTTATCGAGTTTCCATAGAATAAAAGGCAAAATAAAGGAACAGAAAATTACAAGAAAGATGCAAATGACTAACATATGAAAGTAATTCTCGGTCTTGATATTATTTTAAGAAATGTAAATTCAAACACAAAATATGTTTACCACTGGATGGGAAAAAATTAAAAATACTGATTTCAAAAGAAAATGATTCCTGGTAATTAGAAAAAAATGGGAAAATGAACATCCTCATCTTTTATTTAGTTGAACATGAGAATTGACACAACTGATTTTGAGCAGGCAACATGAGATTTAAACATCTATCCCCTTTACCCAACAATTCCAATTGTAAATATCGATCCTACACATAAGTGCACGTACACAAATAAATATGGAAGAACATTAATTGAGCAAAAGACTTGTAAAGGCAAAAAGAAAATGCATAGAGAATATAGTTGTCCATTGATAGGAAAATGGATAAATAACTTATGACATTGATTCTATCAATACCATGTTACAACAAAACTAATAAAATGGCTAAGATGAGAACAGGGTCTGGTACTGACCTGGAAAATATCCTAACATATTGTTAATTGAAAAGAACAAGTATAGACCAGTATGCATAGTCTGATCTAATTGTACTTTAAAAACTATGTATTTGTGTATGGTCATGAATGGGTATACAGAGAAAAATTTCAGAAAGTACATACCTAACTGTTAAAAGTGGTTAACTCTAGGAAGAGCAGTGAAATGAAGGGAGGGGTATGAGGAATTTTTCATTTTTTTTATTTCTGCACTGGTGTTTTTAGAAGAATATGTTTAATGTATTATTTAAGTTAAAAATAAACATTTAAGGGTAAGCAAAACACAATAACTGTGTTGGATCACTTCTTAAAATACCATTACAATTTTTAGCTTATATCTGATTTTGTAATTGTATAAGCCAACCCTCCCCCCTTACAAGCATGTAAAAGTGAAATAAGACCAAAAAAATTTTTTTAAGGTAAAGACCAAACAGTATAGAATTGAGAATGTCTGAAACAAGAAAAGGTGTTTCTAAGCTCCTTTTCAGAACACAGAAATCCAGCAAGATGGAAAAGCAGTGACAATAAAGATTCCTCTCAGCCCTCACCCCAAACTCCTGCCCTTTTCAATGCAACAGTTAGTTAGCTGCTCGCTGTGAAAAACTGGTGATTGTTTAGAATTTTGCATGAATGTTTGCTTGCTAGTGCACACGGGTTTGGCGTACCTCCTTTGCTGAGAATGGTTTTTTAAACACCATTAGCAGGAGGAAAACTTCTATTTGTGGCTAGATGGATTTACAAAAGGACTTCTATTTACATAAAAGAAGACGACAGGTGTTTCCTGGGAGTTTGTTGTGTTTTAATGTGTGTGTTTTGGAGGAGAACAAGTGTTAAGAAATCAATGAGCAAAACAAGAGCCTTCTCCCCACAAACACCAAGAAAGGTAGCCACCGTCTCAGCTTAGAGACCAACGCTTTCATTACCCTTAATGTCCTGCCCCTGTGCTTTTAAATTGACAATCACTGCGGCACATGTGGAGTTTCTATTACACTTAATTACCTTTCTCTTCATCTTTCCTGGGAGGAATGTCACCATCCAGAAATGCAGTCACCCAAGGAGGGGAACTTCTAAAACACAACTCATCACTCCAAATGCCTCCCCCATTCCCCTACACCCTGCATCTCACTGAATGATATCCAGACACATGATGTACTGGCTCAGACAGGCTACATCAGTAAGAAAGGAAGCTTTTCAGGTGTTACTGCAAAATAAATCTCTCAGTATCATCTACATAGTTTTGTGGGAGGAGGGAGAAATTTCATTGCTTACTATTAGAAAAAGTCATCTTTGAAATAATAAAACTTAATCATATTACAATTACAGTAGAACCTTCATAATTGACCACCTTCCTACTTGACCACCTCCTTAAGTTGACCTACTTCTCGTAGACCGGACGTGCACCACATGTACCTGTACAGTAGACCTAGTTCCTTATGTTGATCAGTATGTTTCAGTCCCCTGGGTGGTCGACTTACAGAAGTTTGACTGTGTAAGAAATAAGACATATTTCAGGCACAGACAAAATGAGCCATTTACCCATAACTGTCCACATGGGTGATTTTCAATTGTCAAGATCACTGACAGATTCAAAAATATAAGGTGAAGATACCTCAAGTTTAAATTTCAATGCACATTTTGTTTATAAGCTGGAAAGAGAACCCCTGACAGAATTTCAGATAAAATTAACCAGTCTTCACAGCATAGATAGGCAGTAAGATGAGCCTTGATAACTGTGGTAGGCGCTGCTCTAACCACCAACAGGCCGGAGCATTACATGTGTTGTGTCTATAGCTAATCGTCATGCAGCTCTCCTTGCCAGTAGACAGGTGTCTGCCACCGGAGAACATAAAGCTGCCGCTGAGTGGCCTAGAAATGCAGACAGACCCTGGGAGGGTAAGGAAGGGAGGTGGGCAGCTGCATCAACTCTGCTGTGTGACATAGAAAGCAAATCTGTCTGAGATAGAACAGATTCAGATGACCACAGAGGGGTCTCACACTTACGGGTTTAAAAATGTATTTGATTGTGTCGGAGGAGAAATTTACTAGGTAACAAAATGCTTAGAAACAATTGTCTTGCTGGTAAACTCAGTCTCACCCACCGCTTGCTGGAGAGAGGGCTACTTCGAGAGAACCGGCCACAGAACCAGAGGGAGGGATGTGGCCAGAGAAGGCAGGCAGAGATGCAGGGAGCTTTTAGAAAGAAGCAGCCAGGAGTGACAGGGGACACTGGGGAGGGGTGGCAGCAGCACTGTCTCACCGCCATTAAAGACCAGAAAGGACCTACCCGGGACTAACTGATGGCTCAGCCTCGTGGGGCTCCAAGACCGGTGGGCAAGACCATAAAGCCTTCCACTGGCCACTTACGCAGCAGGGCTCCTACCCCACAGGAGTTCATTACCAGTACAGGTTAGAAAGATGAGTAAAGAGCTCCCACTGTGAGGACTTTTAAATCCTCTCCTTTTATGTACCTGCTATTATTTTTCTCAGACGCTTAAGAAAACCTAGGGGAAAAAGCTCAAATTAGAAGGAGGGTAGAAACAATTTCTCTCTTTGTCCAGTGGAATGAATGACTTGTTTGGGAGACTCAGTGGTCGATGCCTTGCCTTGTTCTTTCTAACACAGGGCTTCCCAAATGTCTGTGGTACAAAGTCGTTCTGCCCTCACCTGACGGGCTGCGGTGGGCAGGTGAGCACAGGGGACAGATGACAATGCTTCTAGCCAAGCAGAACTGCTGACCTGTCCTATAAGAAGGGTGTGTGTGTGTGTGTGCGCACATGTTTGGTGAAAGACAGCTGCTTTCATTTTCTAGAGCAAGAGGGTAAATCAAAATTGTATAGGACAGACAGGTAAGAAAATCATCATGAATGAATAAAATGGACTCAGCATAAACTCTAGGAATAGAGAGATTCTGTGTGGTTTTTTTATCTGCTACTGCACAGCACTGCTGCACTGGGGCACAGGGTAGGTGTTCCACAAACATATCTCCAGCTGGTTATGGGAACAGACACCAGGAGTCCTGAGAATAGGACTGCCTCTGTTGCTCCGGTCAGTAGCTTAAACACAACCTGACCCAAGTAATGGCTATCTGAATCTATCACCGATCGGATATCACAATGGCTATCACAACCTGACCCAAGTGATCACATCTGAATCTGGAGCCGCAGCAGGGACTGAGTTCAGTAGATAGTGGCCCAGGTATACAGGCCACTCATTGAGACAAAGTAAAGCAGAAAGGAAGCTAAAGATCAAATTGTAAGTTAGATCCTCTCTGAGCATGGACATTTTGCCAAGTGTTCAGGAGGGGGCCCAGAGAGGTGAGAAATACGTGAATCATCGTGATAATAACACAGCGCGTGTGAAATGCCATCGAGCGGTTTACATGTAGCAAGCTGAGAGATCAGTTACATAAGACTTTCGAATCCTCCTCATTTTAACATTTTCTTATCATGGCTTCTGTCTATTTCTTTCTCAGCCCAGGGATTCTCCCAGAAGAGTCTATAACCTCCTCCTAAAATAACCATTTTGATATGCACATTTCTCCAAAATGCTTCCCAATAGAAGGGAAGCAAGAAGACTTTACAACCTCTAAAGAAATCCTTAAAGTAACAGAAATAAACAAAATAATAATCAATATGAACACACGCTTAAAACTCCAATACCTGACCAAGGTAGTATACTCCCGTAGGGCTGGGTTTACCGATTTCCTCTACTTACACATTCATTTCCTGCATGTTCTCGGCTGCAAAATAAAAGGCCTTGATCTGTGGATGGTTGACCTTGAAAGCACTAAAAAGGAAAAAGGCACAAATATTTAGAAATTAGTGTTTGTCACCATCGATGGGTCTGAAAGCAAATCAGTCAAATAGAAGCATTATAAGCTTGTCTGCTTTGCTTGTAAATTTACAAAAACTAATTTAGTCACATTAAATACCCATTGTCTAGTTCCTCTTTCACTGAGGAGCTGAGGGTCAGTTTGTGTCAGGACACGCAGAATAGTACACTTAGCTGCCCAGTAAGGTCCATTGGAAACATATGGACAGACCCCTTTCTTTTCACTCGCTAACTGGTTTGCCACAAAGATACAATAAATTACAATTTAGAGCAATAGAGGTATCAATTCAAAATATCCAGATCAACTCCATCTAGCACAGTACTTAAATACAATCATATATACAGAATTTCATTTATAGATCTGGAACTTTTTCACACTATGATAACACATCAGAAACCTTATCCAAGGAACCTTCTTTTAGTAAAGGAAAAATGTCAGGCCGATTTTAGTTGGAAAGTATAAAACGCTGAAGATAACAGAAAATAAAGCTCTTCCATTTCACCACGGAGACCGGAAGTCCTGTCGCACAGGCCAGGCTGTTTATAAATAGCCAGTGGAAAACCACAGAGACTGAGCAGTGTGTGTGTCACTGCAGGTGAGCAGACACACCAGACAGGCGAAGACTTAAAGCAAGCTCTGCTTCATCAATTTTCTTAGAAGTAAATAATCAATTTCTGTAACTACTAACATAGGACAATAAGGAAATGTCCCTTTCTGATAAGACTGCTAAAGATGTCAAAGGTAGAGGAAATAATTAAAAGAAAGTAAACAAGGACATATGTGCAAAAGACCAGGAAAAGCACTCAGGTGGGGATCTGGATCCTTGGGTTTAGAGCCAGCTGTCCCTTGAGCCCTAGGCAGGTCACAGGCTTCCTGAGCTATCTTTCTCTCAAATGAGGACCATGAGCTGCCAACTTCTTTGATCCCTGTTGGGTCTCAAATCTTTTGGACTTGAATTATACAGAGCATAATTCTTAGGCTTAAGAGAATTGATATCTCTTTTGTTTCAGATCTATAAATGAAATTCTTCTGTATATATGATTGTATTTGAGTAAGTACTTTGCTTGATGGAGTTGATCTGGACATTTTGAATTGATACCTCTTTTGCTCTTGAATTATACAGAGTATAATTCTCAGGCTTAAGACATCTCAAAGAATTTAATTCCAAGGGTGCTCAGACATCTCCATGAACTAAGAAAATGATTTTGCTATCCTATCTGCAGGTGAGACATAGTTAACTATCCATCCTTCTCTTTACAAGGACAAAAACTTGAGATCTGACCTCTCTGCCAACCCTGGATGGGAGTTTGTTTTTGATTCCATCATAGACACAGTCATCAACATTCCATGCCAAGGTTTCATGGGGGGTTTAAAACCCATCTGCTCCACAAAATGAAATTCCAGAAAATGAGAGGTTAATGTTTCTGTTACTATTTTGGGTGTCAACCCCAAATGTTCAAAATTCTCAGACATTGAGTTTCCTTCACTCACATCTAAATCACCACATCACTTGATGAACATTTAAAAGAGATGTTATCATGGCTCAGAGTTTTGCGGCGGATGAGAAAAAACTTACTGCTTTTTCTTGCATTCAGATGCTCTTTCAACAGTGAAATCAGGCAAGTTGACAAATCCATCAGCTTTCTCTGCCTGAAACAAATACATACCACACATAGAAATAAATACATCAATCCTAGAGTTTAGTTGATTGAGATTATACACATGAAAGAGAGAGAGTGCACATGAGATAAGGGGGAATCAAAAGCTGCCTCCCTGAATCAGCCTGAATTACCCACAAATGTGTCCCAGATACACAGTTTACAAGAGAAATTAATATTCTCTTGATAATGCACCCAGATCCTTCCAAGAGATGGAACACGACATAGCTTAAGATTGGACAACAACAGCAGGCATAGAATCTGCCCACGCCCTCTTCCTGTCTCCATGAAAAATATGAACTAACCCATCAGAGTCCCCAGCATCCACTCTGATAAACCACCACATAGATGAAACCTAATTAGCATTCTTAGTTTGGTGGACATTGGAGGTAGCCAAACTCCATTCCTATCACGGACCTGCCACTCCCTGGTTTTTAGGATTTAAACAAGGTCAGATAAATAAAACACTTAACGGACACTCCACAAACATTATTTCCCATCCCAAGTCTGTAGACAGTGCTTTGGCAATGAAACTAGAGCTATGTCTTGCAGAATCTCAGTCCCATGATCAATTTCTAGGAGTTATCTCTATGAAAGAAACACAACAGAAGAAAATGATGCTTTGCTGTGTCCCCAACCCCTCAGGTGCAGACCAGACTGGTACCACCTGCCACCTGTTAGCAACCAGGCTGCACAGTATTTACCCATCACTGACCTGTGCCCCACCTCCTGGCAGATCAGGGCAGGCATTAGATTCTCAAAGGAGCATGAACCCTACCATAAACTATACATACAAGGGGTCTAGGATGCAGGCTCTTTATGAGAACTTAATGCCATCCCCGCCCCAACACCCACATTCCCAGTCTAGTTAGTAAAAAAATTATCTTCCCTCATGCCAAAAAGGTTGGGGAAGGATACTTTTGAGGCGTAAATGTCACTTTAAATCATCAAAAATATGATAGCAATGTAATCACTGTCCCACCTCTCTAATAATTTATTAATCCATATTTAATGAATAAAGTTTAACTGAGACACAAGGAAGCTAGAGTGTTTGTCCCAGAACTCCAACTTCCTTTCATCTACACTGGTATTTCTGAGTAGAAAATACAGTCCACAAGATTAAACATAAATGAGTTAGTGGTTATCAGGAGATGAGGAAAAATTGATTTTGAAAATACCATCTTGATTTTAAAAGTTGGCTAGCGATTGAATTAATCCTATCATCTACACTGGTATTTCTGAGTAGAAAATACAGTCCACAAGATTAAACCTAAATGAGTCAGTAGTTATCAGGAGATGAGGAAAAATTGATTTCAAAAATACAATCTTAATTTTAAAAGTTGGCTAGCTATTGAATTAATACCATGGGTACTTTTAGTTCACCTCATCATCCTGTTACTTCCCTTATTGCCAACTAGAGTGCAACTTTCATTATTTTCTTCAGAAAAAAATAAACCATGAGACATCGACTCTGTGCCCATCTTCTGTCTCCTACATGACTTGATCTATCCAAATTCTTCATTTGAAATGTCTTCTTTTGATAACACTCAAAACTCAATTCTAGTAAGTATTGCCTTCTTTAAAGTATATATGCATATGTGTGTACACTGAATAAATATATAATACATAGACGGAGATGTTCTGCTTAATTACTGGATAGTGGTTTCAACAAGTCTATCTCTAAGAGAATATAAATTACACAAAGAACACAGACTGTGTAAGTCAACTTTCTGTATAATGCACAATGCTGGCCTGAGATGTTGGCTCATATCTATAATCCCAGCAGTTTGGGAGGCCAAAGCAGGAGGGTCACTTGAGTCCAGGAGTTCAAGACCAGCCTAGGAAATAGCGAGACCCCAATCTCACAAAAGGTTTAAAAAATAGCCAGTGCAGTAGTTCACATCTATAGTCCCAGGTGTTTAGAAGACTGAGGCAGGAGAATCCCTTGAGCCCAGGAGTTTGATGCCACAGTGAGCTGTGATCACACCACTGCACTCCAGCTTGGGTGACAGAGTGAGACCCTGTCTCAACAACAACAAGATTCTTCCCATGGATTCTCAATTAGCATTATATGAAAGTTGTGGTTTTGAAAAAGTATGTTAAATTCCACCAGTTCCACTTCTAAATACAAAGGTTGAGCGTTCCTTATCTGAAATGTTTGGGAGTAGAAGTGTTTTGGACTTCGGATCTGTTCTGAGTTTGGAACATTTGCATATACATGCTGATTGGGCTTCCCAAATCCAAATATACAACACCCAAAATGTTCCAATGAGCATTTCTTTTGTGTATGATGTTTGAACATCATGTTGATATCCAAAAAATTTCCAGATTTTAGAATATTTTAGATTTCAGATTTTCAAATTAAAGATGTTCAACCTGTATACCCAAAGAAATTGAAAACAAGTACTGAAATAAATACATATGCGTGCATGTTCACACAGCCAAAAAAGGTAGAAACAGCCCCAAAGCCCATCAGCAAATGAATGGATAAACAAATTGTGGCTTCATCACTACAATGAAATATTATTTAGCCACAAAAAAGAATGTAAGTACTGGAACAGGCTAAAGAGATAAACTTGAAAACATTACGTTACATGAAGGAAATCATTCACGAAAGGCCACATATTGTATAGTTCAGTTAATATAAAATATCCAGAGGAAGAAATCCACAGAGGACAGATTACAGGTGGCCAGGGGATGGGAGGCACAAAGGAGACCAGGGAGCCACTGCTTAGTGGGCATGGGGTCTCCTTTCGAGGCCATAAGAATGTTCTGGAACTACATAGAGGAGGTGATTGCACAACACTGGGACAGTGCTAAATGCCACTGAATTGTTCACTTTAAGTTAGGGGATCTTCTGTTCATGGTTTTCATCTCAATTTTCAAAAAACTTACTGGGCTAAGTTATTACTATGTAAATTCCCATAATTGATTTAAAAAAGAAAAAATCACTTACACTCACCATTTGCCCCTCCTTTCTCCTCCCATCTAGGTGTACACTCACTGTTCCTGAAACACCACAGGTACTGTGAACTCCACTGACTTGTGTTCCACTTAACTGAACTCTACCACTGATGCTCCCTCCCTTTGGAAATGCCCTCCTATTTTGGCTGTTTTGACAATACATTATTAGAGCTGCTCCCTTCTTCCTCCAACCACTCATCACTCTCTCTAGTGGGTCTCCTTCTCCTGCCTGTTAAGTGTCAGGATTCCCAGAGTTCTGCCCAACACAGACCCTTCTCATTCCAACATTCTCTGCAGCTGATCATACTGAAACTCCCGGGGTTTCACGCATCACTGCACACACAAATCCAAAATCTAAGCCTCAGCCTGGGATTCAACCCTGAAGCTCCCATCCCAGATTTCTGACTTCCTAGTGTTCCTACTGACATGGATATTCTACGGGCTCCCCACGACTGACAAAGCCACCACCAAGCTCATCATAAAACTCCACCAAGCTCCATAACACACCTGCTCCTCTTTTTCCTGTGTTCCCTACTTCAGGGAGCAGTATCCGGTTGCCAAAACAGGAAATCTGGGAGACCTCCCTGACTCTTCCATTCCCTTCTCAGCACCCACATGTGGAGACTCCATGTTGTTCCAGTAACCTGTCACAGGTGTTCAGTCCACTCGTTATGTGTCACCTCCTTCCATTTACCCCTATCTTTTTCTTGAATTACTGCAAAAAGCTTCCGAACTGTTCTCCTAATTCTGTCCTTCCATCCAATTTAGTGTCCCAGTCACAGCAAATCTTTGTACAATGAACATTCTTCATAACACCTCTCTAATTAAAACCCTGCACGTTCCCATTTGCCCTTGAGTGAGGGCTAAGTGCCTCAGCAGAGGGTGGGGGGTGAGAGGGGGTGAGGGGGTGGCGGTCCTTTAGGCTCAAGCTGTAATTAATTCCACAGTTCTATCTTCTCTAATGTCCCTGCACCCTACTCAACCAAAAACAAACAGGAAAATTGCAGCAAAGTAAAAACAATACTCCCATGTAGGCACCCAAATTATATCTGAATTATTCTCTAGACGATTTATTTCCAGTACAAGAAGCCCATCTCAAAGATGACAATACAAAACTCAGTCAACAAAAGTGAAATGTACATATATGAGATCTGATGATGAAGTTAACAAACTCATCCTAGAAAAAGGGCTACATACCTCATTGATGAGCATCACTGCAGTCACCAGATGGCTAAGGGAAGTGCTTCGAAGGTGACTGTGGTGATATTCAGGAATGAAGTATGTAGCACTTTTTCTAGGATAAGTTCACGAACTTAATTGTCCAAGCTAATATATATATATCAGCGGTTCTCAACCTGTGGACCCACAGGAACTGTATTAAGGGGCCACGGCATTAGGAAGGTTGAGAACCACTGATATATATATATATACACACTCACATATATGTTTATATCATATTGTACTTTATTAGGAAAAACATATATAAAGTTATAAATCTTTTTTTTTGTGAGACAGCGTCTCACTCTGTCACCCTGGGGTTGAGTGCATGGCGTCACCATAGCTCATAGCAACCTCAAACTCTTGGACTCAAGAGATCCTCCTGCCTCAGCTTCCTGAATGGCTGGGACTATAGGTGCCCACCACAACGCCCAGTTAGTTTTTTCTATTTTTAGTAGAGACAGGGGTCTGGCTCTTGCTCAGGCTGCTCTGAAACTCCTGAGCTCAAGCCATCTGACCATCTCAGCCTCTCAGAGCGCGAGGATTACAGCTGTGGCCACTACACCAGGCAGGCTATAAATATTTATTTAGGCAGATTCCTTTTCTGCATAACTAAAATGGCTGAGATTCTTTCAAATTGGGGCCTAAGTACATTTTAGTAAAGATCTCTTAATATTTCCCCCAGAAAATCTCTATATAAGCAGAGCCATTTTTATTATTGTTCTGAAGACATTTAAGCTGTATTAAAAATCATGGATAACAGTGTCAAAAATGGTCCTTGCTTATTTGACCTGCAAAACAGGCCTCAAA